GAAGACACTTCCTCTTCTCACACGAACCAGGATTTCAAGCCTCTTGATGAGCTAATCTTAGGGCCTGAACACCAATCTTAGGTTCCTGGAAGCATTGATCGGCAGCACCTGGGAGAAACCCCTGTGGCCTCAGGCTGATTTGCTGTGGTCAGGGGGAGTTTTTTGATTGAGGGTGAAGCAGCAGAAAAATAGCTGGATGATTTGCTTTCCCAATAAAGCTGTAGTTTTCAAAACACACTCAAGAACTCAGAATTCAGTGGTTTTGTTGATAAAGTACTAGTATGTCGTATTTTACAAAATGAGTTGCCCAGACAAAGGAAAGAGAGAGAAATAAACACTCAAAAATCTATGCTAGTCTGAGTCCTCTGGTTTCATCCTATTTTTCTCTTGACCTGATTCCTCTCTCTCTATATATATTTTTGCTGCATTTTAAATAAATGCCTCAAACACTTTTCTTTCTTTCTTTTTAAGGAGAACTAAAGGACAAAGGGGAAAGCAAACAGTAAAGCCTTTGAAACATTCCTAATAGAAATCCTACATGATAAGCACTAGTCTCATTTTACAGATGAGGAAACTGAGGTTTGATGAGTTGAAATCAGCTGTCCGAGATTACCCAACTGGCCAGTGACAGAGTTGGGATGTGACTTTGGCCCCGACTCTGAAGCCTACTTATTTTTGTTTGTTTGAGGAGTCTAGACAAGGATTCCAGCCTGGACATCTCCCCTGGATGGCGCCTGTCTACTTTCGGCTCTTCCCCGCTGCTCTTTCCCACCCTAGCTGCCCACGAGAATCGCTCGGAGCCAGTGAATAAGTGCCCCAGGCCTCGCCCACACCAATTAAACCAGGATCTCTGGGGTGGGGCCCTAGTATAATTATATTTTTAAGGAAATGTCCTAGATTCCAATGTGCAGCCAGCAAAAAAATGAGGACCAGAGTGCTACATTGCATGGTGCTTCCTAGGAGAATGCTTGGACTTCTTGAGAAGTTCAGCTCATCCTATAGGTGTGAGTACGTCACGTATTAAAAACAGGCTCATTCAATCAAAAAGCACAGAGAAGAGAAAGAAGAGTGAAGAGAGGTAGAGATAGCCCTGAGCTGCCCCTTTCCCATTAATGCTGTTCAGTCCAGTGCTGACCAGTTTCGCAGCTTGCATTGACTAAATCCCGACCTTCAAGAGTTAACCACTGAGTCTTCTAAGCAGGAGCCAGCTTGCTAAAGCTCAGAAGATGTCCCGAAGCTGAAGGCGGGAGTGTTTCACAGTGGACCCACCTCACAGCCCACCAGGTGCTTGCATATTACATCACATTCCCCCTCTTTCTGGGAACACACATCTGATCATGTAAATTACTTTGCTCAAGTAAGACAGGAGACCAATCAGATCTGGTCTCCGTCAGTGAAAATCTGCTTATGGCAGAGGCAGCTCTAGCTGGAACAGCTGTGACTTTTGTTTGTGTAAATGCTGAGGATCTTGACTGGAGAGCTGAAGTTTGCTGCTGATGCACTGGATTTATTCCTTGTATCAGGAACAGCGGGACAGGCACCTGGTGTAACACAAACAATCTGAAGTTGCCCCAAACCGGGTTGAATCCCAGCTCTGAGTTCCGCTCTTACTTCCTGTTGCTTTGAATAAGTCAAAGTTTTTTATCTCACGCTAATTTTCAAAATGAGGAACTGGAGCTTTTAAGGGAATACAATTTGATTAGTTTAGCTAACAGGGCAGAGTTTCCCAAGTTTTAGGGGTAAATGAGCATGGCATTAAAACACTGTATCACATAGCGAGAAAGTTATTTGCATTTTGATTTTGGTTCATTCCATCTGATTATATTAGAGAGACAGAGGTATATGTCTGACATCTCTCTAACCCTGTTCTTTCCTCCTTTAACAATGAAAGAGCTGTTCCAGGGAACTGTGTGTTGTTAGACAACTGCATACAGCTGGAAATGAATAATAATATTGATTTATACAGATTTTTTTTTATTTTTTAAAGGTTTACTTTATTCTCATTGGAGAGAGGAAGGGGGGCGGAGAGAGAGAGAGAGAAACAGTGATATCATCAGTTGCCTTCCACACATGCCCCAACTGGGGATCAAACCTGCAACCAAGGCATTGCCTTCACTGGGAATCCAACTGGCAACCTCTCGGTATATGGGACAATGCTCCAACCAACTGAGCCACACCGGCCAGAGCAATTTATATTTATGTTGGCAGTTACTTTTATGGTGTGTGCTGCCTATTTACGATAGGACTACAAAGGTATTTTTAAGTAAAATAAGACAAAGAAGTGGTTAAAATATCAAACCATGGTCCACAGGTGGTATACACACAGGACAAAACTAATCAAGGTGACACCCAAAAGTCAAGGTCTAGGAAGAACGGAGTGGATAGATGTGACAGAACCTCAACTGAGTCTCTGAGTCTAGTTAGGACGTGGTCGGAATGCAGGGAAAGAAGCCACTGCTAAACCTGTCTGCGTACTCTGGTTTGAAATAAGCTCTTTAAGAAAGGAAATCTGAGACAGGTTCAGACAGTATGGACGATTCGCACTCCCTGCGGAATTGGTCTCATGTTCAGGTCGTCCTCGGGTTGACCTGCGAACCCCGGCCCAAAAAGACCAGGTCCACTGCTCGTGTTTTCAATGCTCAGTTACCTGGGAATAACAATCTGATGGTCATCTTGAATTTGATTAGTTTAGCTAACTTTTTTTTTAAAGAAAACACTAGAAATACTAGACCACATTGGTTTTAGATGACAAGGCTTGGGAATAAAGATTCTAGTTTCATCAAGTCTTTGAATTGTCCAACTTCCTGCAGATCATCATTCTTAGTAAGAGAAGGAAGGAAACATCAGAAAATACGACTATTCTGTGACCTCATGACCTCAGGAGCCCAATAAAAGACTGAGAATTTGGAGGGGAGAAAAGATCACATTTAAATTCAAGTACATTGGAGATTTGCCTCTAATTATTTTTCCTACGAAGAAATACGACATGCCCAGAACTATTCAATTATTGACTACAAAGTTTTTGTTTGTTTTTCTAAGAGTGAAATTTTACCATGAAGCACATAATATCACAAAGTTCTAAAAATATTACATTGGTCATTTTACCTGAGGAACATAGAGCAGAATAATCTATACACTACACATTGTTGCAGAAAAGGGTTTTTTTCTCTTAAGTTTGAAGTGATCTCACCAGCCTGTGATGATCTATCATTATACAAGTCACGTAGGTGCTTCTGTTAAAAAGCAAAAGCACCAGATTCTGATACTGGCTTTCTGATTACAGTCTGTTCATAGTTTAAAATGCTTCTATGAGCTTCAAATCCAAACACAGTGCCAAGCCTCATTCTTTCAAAGTAGTTGAAGAGACGTCATTCCTAGTTCTGGCTCCAGGATTATCTTGTTCTGGATGAATCTCATCTCCACCGTGGACTCATCTGACCCAGCCATAAAGTGAGTGGGGAGGGCAGATTACGAGTCTCACACTCAATGCCAACAGGGGCCAGGCAGGCGGTATAAACAGAGGAAGCTGGCCAGGACTAAGACAACAGGAACTGGTCGTGGTGATGGGCGAATAGGAAAACATGTCTCCTCTAAAGGGCAATTTTGTTCATCTTTTTTATGCATGAGGAAGGAAACACTATCAACAGAAAAACAGGATTCCTAATTAACAGATAAGAGAACAAAGGGTGATTTCACCCTCTGCTTCTCGTTTGGGAAGGAAGTACTGCAGAGACACCTCCCATCCTCCAGAGGGCGGTGTTATTACAGAGCATTTGCTTGAGCTCCTGACGGCACAAAATAAGAACTAGTTCCATTTTGTCTAATTTTTTTCCCCACAGATGGTTCTGTTATACAACTCTTTCTGTATCCAGTCTGAGTTGCATTCCCACATCACTCTCACGACACAGAACCTTCTGTGTAGAAGGATGTAAAGACAGCTAAGCTAGAAACCTGTTCCCCCGAGTCCAATTTTTACCTTTGCTACACTGGCATGGTTCTGACTGTTTCCGTAGATCAGTATCCTCATGTATAAAGAAGAATAATAGCAATGTCTACCTCATAAGGATGGTGTAGGATTAAAGGAAATCCTACCCACCCCGGGGGAAATGCCTAGTTGTGCATTGATAGTACCGAACTGTATACCCTTCCAAAGTTCGTATTTTATCATCTCAATTTCTCCTTCTAAAGTTAGATTGCATCTGGTAAGCTTTTGCCCTCCACGATAGCAAATGAAACCTGGAATTAAATGATCAGGTTGAATTATATGAAACTGTCAATGTTATTGGTCTGTAACATGGCGATTTCATATGGTTCAATGTAACACAAGTAGTCACCAACCCACAAGAGGGAAAAACAGCTTCCCTTTTTATACTGGTTCTGAAACACACCTCAACAATCTATAATCATTACAGTTGGGAAAGTTGAGACCTTTGGTAGGGGGACAGACACAGTCTCCTCACAAGTAAATTAACATTTGCTATCCACTCCCAGCTTACCAAGTGCTGTGTGTAAATATAGTTTCTTTTAACTCAACAGTAACACTGGGGAAGGATGTGAGGACACAGCTTCTTATAGGCTCCTTGACGTGTCACTGTTGATACATTCTAGAGTTGTGGAGTGTGTAATGTGCTATCATGATCCAGTCACATGCCCACACAATAAAGACTATTTCAATTAACAAGGAGAATAACTACAGAAAGCGCTGCCACTCACTGGACAGGATGGATCCGACAAAACCCAGTTCCCCAAACACTCGGACTACACGCTTGGAAGCCTAGAGACCCCAGTTCTGGCACGCCCAGCACTTCTGACAAGGACAAGGTGTCCTAGCACTTCCCAACTTTATATTGGCTGAAATTCTTATTAGTGTCAGCCTGGCAGCTTGAGCAGTCTCTAAGGCACCTTTTGCATCTCAATCTTTCCAGTTCCCTCCACGCATAAAGACATAAAAAAAAAAAATCCACCATGGAACCCAAACATGTAAGCATTCCCCAGGTGATTTCATTTATCCCTCGACCTCAAAGACAATGACTTTCTGTGACATTTTTACAGGTGACATCACATCTGCCCTTTGCTTGTTCTTTCACGCAATAACTTTTAAACTTCTTATGAACTACCTACGATGTGCCAGGCCTGCTGGAGGCCAGGGGTCAGCAAACCACCAGCCTGCAGGCCTAATCCGGCCCAAAGGCTGTTCAATAAATAAACTTTATTGGAACACAGCCATAGGCATTCATTCGCGTACAGTCTATGGCTGCCCTCTGGCAGCTGAGTAGTTGTGGGACAGAAATCATCTGGCTCGCAAAGCCCCAGATATGTACTATCTGGCCATTTATAGGAAAAGTTTGCTGACCTTGTTCTAGGTAAAGAGGAAACAGCAGGAAAGAAGAGTAACGAAGTCCCCATGTACATTCAGATGTTTAGAAGAAATTGGATGAATGCTTAACCTCAGGGGCAGCCCAAGTTTCGCCCGTGAAATCACAGTCAGTGCCGCTGCTGGGGACTCGCAAAGAACAAGAGAAAGGACCGCAGGTGTGGAGAAAGATGTGTGAGAGCAGGTGAGAGAAAGGATGTGTTGGGAGATCGTATTAGTTAGTATAGAAACCAGCTGGAACAGGCAGGCCACAGGCATTCCCACTGGGGGACACCCAAACCCATGGACGGGCCAGCTACCACACGACCCCACAGATCAGAATCACCTGGAGACAGTATTAAAAATACAGGTTACTGGGCCCTGACCTAGGAATCTGAAACTGAGTTCCACAGGTGTGATGGAGCAGGTACCCCTGGGTGATTCTGAAGCACGTTCAAGTTTCATTAGCGTTTAGGTTTAGTGAGAAGTTGAAGGCGCTCCCAAGGAGGTCTGGCCGGGTGTGCCCTTGTGGCAGGTGAGCGGGGAAAGAATCGGGGCACAGACACGCAGAGGTAGATGCAGTGAAAAGGCAGTTTATTGTCTATTAATACTGTACAGAGGAACAGAGAGAAGCTACAAGTACAGCATTGGCTGTTGCTGGCAGTGTTATTTCTGAAGTTGGTTTTTGTTTTTGTTTTTCGTCTGAAGGAGAGAGAACAGTCAAAGTACACTTCAGGTTACAAAGTACAGCAGCTAGCCCGGCAAGTCTAATTCAGAGTAAGCACAACAGGCCCCCACCCCGCCCCCCAACCAACCACAGAATGGATATATTTACAGAGATATCACTCACCCCGAGTGAGCTGCTAAAGCTGAAAATCCCATCAACACCTACATTCACCGAGAAGCTGCATCGCACACAACATTTTCTGGAACCCCTGCATGATTTGAACTCTACTCAGTCAGGAGCTTGAGAGGAGGAAAGAATGATTCAGAACCCCACACAGGATAGAACTCTTTCCACTTGCCAGGATAGGAATTCACGGAATTGGGAGTTGGAGCTACACACAGAATAGTTCAGATCAGGCATGGCCCGGTGGCCTCTTTGTAGACAAAGACTTATCATTGCAAAACCAAGGGACTGGTGGCTCCTACCCTGCCCACCTGGAGGTTCCCGTGGGAATAAGAAACTAGAGTGAATTGGCTCGCCTGTAGCACCTTCGGGCAGTTGCATAGTTCTGTCATTTTGGGAAGTTGTCTACATGACATTGATGTTCACGGTTGGGCTTGCGTTGAGCCTGCCAAAGGGATTCTGGTGACAAAGGAATTAGGATGATTTACGTGGGAATCAGAAGGGTTCCTTTCCTTGAAATGGAAAGAGTGCTTATGACCTTGCCTTATTGGAAAAGGGATCTCAGCCTTCTAGGGTGATAGAAACTGGGTCCGTCCTGGGAGCGGACGCTACCTGGGAAGGGAATCTAACGGGAGGGCTGAGCAGGCTGAGGCTGGTCCCACTGTCAGACAGAGGAATGGGTGTGGCCGAAGATCTTCATGAAAGTGAGTGTGCTTGTGATGAGAACTCAGAAATTTGGCAGGAAATTGGGGCCGGGGTGGAATCCAAGCACTCTAAAAATTTAGAATCATCTTTATGGATGGATAAAGACAATTCTTTCTCATCTCTACTTAGCCCTGAAAATACGATGCGGCCCCTTTAAAATTTACAAGGCCAAGTATGCCTGGTAAGCTTCGTATTGTTGGTTCACACATTTATGTATAGACTAGAGAGCCAGATGCTTCTGACTCAAATGCACCGTAGTGAGTGGTCCCTCAACCTCGAAGTTACTCCTTAACTATGTGGAAGAGTCAGACATTGATCATTGCTGGGCTTGGCTTATATTGCAAAGAGCGACCTCCTTTCAAAAGATTATACATTTATTTTTAAAGATGGAGCCCAGGGAAGTCTCGACCAGTATAACACAGTTTCTCTGATGGCAGTTATAGGAAGTTTGATTTTACAAACTAGGTCCGTGTGGAAAAACTGGGTTCCGTGCAGGGTGGTGCAAGGGAGGTCACGGACCTTAGGGAATGCCCCCGCCACCAGAGGTCTGGGCTAGTGCTACAGAACTCACCAGAAGGTTACCTTCATGGAATGGAGAAATAACTCAGTCAATCAAGGGAGTTTCTAAACGCAAGCTTCAGAATGCATATAGATTTCATTATAAAAATATTTTTCCTTAAAAAAATACATAAATGTAAACGATTCCATTTCTCTCACTGCTCCTCACTCCCACCCATATGGTGCTACAAGTCTTAGACTATAATGAATGGGCACACCCATCAGTAATGACTCAATCCCATCATTTGAGTCCATCTAAGAATCTTGCTTTTCCAAACTATGCCATGCCAATTATGCTTAAAAATATGCTCCCAGACCCAGAGACGGGGCTCCACAGGTTCACCACCTTCACAGAGGGAAGGGCTGCAGGTCACGTGGACTGCCCCAGGAATGTCAGAGTATGATTCGGCAGGCCAAGATGAGAATACAGAATGTGTTTGGTTGCTAGATGAGCCAAGGCAATGCCCAAGCCACGCCCACTTTATTCCCCCTGGGCCAGACCTGCAAGGTTCTGCCTCAAGGCTCCCGAGGTGAAATTCCCAGCTCTGAAGAGGGCTGGGCAGGGGTGGGGGAGAGAATGTTGTGTTAATACAGCTTTGGAATACAACCTGCATTTTCCCAAAAGGACAGAAAAGGAGAACATAAACAGCGATGCTAAGGCAAACTTTCGAATGGCACATCAGAACTCTTTTTTTTTTTTGTCATTCATTTTGTTAACATCACAAGGCAGATACATTCTGTAAACATATATACTATACAGTACATTAACCATAGGAAAATAAAAAGAAAGCCACCCTGTAATTCTCTTTTTTCGGTATTTCTGCTCTCTCACTCTAGAAGGACTGCCTGAAGTCTAGGGAGAATTTCGTGGGTCATGAGAGACACTTCTCTTGTGATAAAAATGCAGTGACTTGCAAAAAAGGGCCCCAGCTGATGAGTAAGAGGCATTATGGGGAGAAGATGACCATTCATACCTCAACCTGTAGAAACTTAGAAAATAGTCACAAAATATAAAAAAGTCATTAATTTCAGGAAACATGTTGGTTTCCCGCTTTGTAAAAGAGAGCACTGAAAAACTGTATTTTACAAAAGTTAAGGCTGTCCAGATCTTAGATGCAGAAAGTCTGTGGTCCCCCAAAATGACATAGTATATTTTCACATTGAAAGCAGGGTTGTTGTTGGTTTTTTTGTTCTTTTTTCTTTTCTTTCTTTTTTTTTTTTTTTGCGCTACAGTTCTGGCCTTCCTATGTTGGACTAGAGTAGAGTGGGAGGCAGGGGTTTATTTAAGTCTTATAAAAATTAAGGGTCAGGGGCAAGGCTGATCTCAGGATTCCCTAGTGAAATTGCCCTTTAAAACTCTCTGGATGTAATCTTTACTCTATCCTTTTCTACATTCAGATCATAAGTATTTTGGGTTTTGTTAGACTGGGCATTTTATTATGGAGTTTGCTGAAGCTATGAAAATACAGACACATAACCACAGTGTGCTCCTCAGAAAAGATGAATGTTTCTTTTTGCCCTAGGAAATGCAGGAAAATTTTCATGCTAAGACCAGAAGGGGGCTACACAATGAAGGTGAAATGGTAGCCGGAATCGAAGACCCCCATCTTGCTCATGACTTTGAGCTGTTCTGGGACATGTTTTATACCCGCCCTGTACCTGCCGGTGGTATTACTCAGTAGCACAAAAGGTCTTTCCAGTTCTCTCCTAATTAGTGGAGTTCTACATACCTTGCTTAGTAAATTGAGGAGCTTCTAAAAGATTGCCCATTTACAAAGTTCCTGACACATGTCTTAGCTATGCCGAGAATTTGTGGTTTCAATAACAAGTGTGCATATTGCAAAAACACAACATAAAACTTGCTCGCCTTGGAATCTGTTGTCAACGAAGTAACATTAAGGGAGATGAGAATATTTTCCCATGAGGAATGGGGCCTTTGGTGAGTTACACTCCACACGGCATCTAGTGACAGGGATAGCTGAGCTTTTAGACTTCAGTACAAACAAAGAGAAAGTCCTCTGTGCATATTTTGTGTATGCTCATCTGTGTTTCATTATTTCTTTATTTTTAAATTGAATTTGTTGGGGTGATACTGGCTAATAAAAGTATAGGTTTCATGCGTACAGTTCTGGAATACATCATTTGCCTATTGTGTTGTGTGCTCACTACCCCAAGTCAAGTGTCCTCCTGTTCATCTGTGTTTTGAACTGAAAGGGTTAATGCTTTTTAAAAAGAAAGTACCAGCTTAGTAGTTCATCTTTGCTTCTATCACCATATCTCCTCCTCCTCTTTTGCTACCTGTTTGTTTGTGGGAATTAAATAAATGGTCATTGCCAAAAGGTGGTCTGTGGCCCTTTGAAATGGAATTCTGCAGAAGGGAAGAGAAATAGGCTGTTTTCACACTTGGCCCCAATTTGGTTTTGCTCTAGAGCTTTGCTCCAGAGATATCGTATCTCTAGACATATAGTTTCCCCCTTTCATAAAAATTTAACCCCACCCAAAGTAAAATATTATACTTGCACATAGGAAAAACACATTTGCCGCCAGGACTAAGATGCTACTAGGCAGGAATTTGAAGCAATCCATGTCTATCAACATTCCAGAAAGAAGTCAAATCAAAGAAACACTAGAATTTGAGTTTCCTGAAAGTCTTTGAATGTTCAGAGGTTGCTCTGAAGACTGACTGAAACTATGTTTTGGGTTTAAACAGAAGGAAATTCCTGGCCCCTCATCCTCTATCCTCCTAATATTAAGTGATATCACTGGACATTGTCAAATCTCTGTGAGAGCCAGCTAATTTTTGCTTATATAAGGAATTCATATACTGATGGGTAAAAGAGGTACAGCTAAAAAAATCCCCTGTAGTTTGTCCTATCACACATCAAACCAAAAAAAAAAAAAAAAGTTAAGGATATGCAAGTCACCATGATTTTCCAGGATAAGTAATATTAAACTGCATCATTTTACCATTAAAGGATCTTTAATTCAATACCCCTGAAAATGTATTTATAAACCAATGAAATATTCCTTCTCTTCCTCTTTCTCCTCTCTCCATTTAAAAGGGAACTAGTGTCGTGATTTTCAAAGAAAGCCCAAGTAACTCTTAGCTCAAAAAAGATAACGGTGTTGCAGCTTCGTAACTGACTCTCTAATCAGCCTGGTTATGTAAGTACAGAGTGTGCCCATGACAGCAGGGAGGCAGCCTGTTCCCAACCACAAGTTAGAGGGTTTTTTTGTTTGTTTGTTTGTTTTACCATGAAGGGCAGTTACTCACTGTAGGCGGGATTGTAGGTCTCATCCCCAGAAAGTACCTGCTGAGCCTGAACCCCCCATTATAATAGGAAAATGATACAAAATACCCAAATACAGGCCATATTTAAACACACCTGCATTTGCTGTGGCGAGAAATCATTTAAATAAAGATAACACATCTTGTTTTAAAAACCATTACATGAAAAGCTTTAACAGTAAATGTACAGAGAGCACTCTGATATAAATGGCGAATCCCTAGAATAATTATTGGTGGATGAGAGTGCAGATTATCACTGGTCTTTTACATCTTCTGTGAAGTGTTGTGGTGAGCAGTACAGATCATTTTCTTTGTGAGAAACTAGTTCACTTACGGAAGGAAGGGCGGGTCATTTCGGGGAATAATTATCTGTCCTAGAAGATTCTGATTTTGTTTGTCAGCCAGCAAGCCCAAGGGTGTTCAGTTCCAACTTTACACTCATTAACTGTGCTTTTAAAAACTCATGTTGGATAGTTTCAATCCCCGAGGGAATTAAAAAAAAGATAATCTATGGTAAACTTTTAGAGTTTTCTTTCTTAAATAAATTATTAACATAATAGATTGTCCAAAACATTGAAACTCTCTTCTTTTTCAATGTAAATCAGTTTATCTGGCATGTCATTCTATTTAACAGTTAAATAATGCTTCTGTGACGATTTATGGAGGAGTGTGTAGTTGAGAAATAGTGAGATTTATAGGCAGCAAAACCAGGTATTATTTCTAGATGACAGAACAGGTTTATTCAATGGCAGCTGCTTTAGTGAACCTGAGATTTAGAGAAAATTCCCTCAACTATTCACAACCAAGCCATGGATGAAATCATCTTAGAAAGCAAAACTTAGCTTCTCTATTTTTCCCCTTTTAAACTTATTTTGTTTATATATTGGAGATAAAACAACTCACTTTGTGCTCATTAAAATGTAATTAGAGAAAAATTAACCTTCAACAATTAAAAATATTTTTCTTTTGGATTACAACACATTTAATTTCAAGCCAAGAAACTAAAAATACTAATAAAACTACTGAGAAAGCTATTTAGGTCAATTTGAGTTGGTTCTGTAGTCAAGTTCTCTTAAGACTATCATATTTTTTTCTCATCTACTTTTCACAGAAGTTAGACTTGATGTAGTATATCTTATTGGAGGTTTTTTGAAACTATGTTTTATGGAACATAGATAATTTTGTGAATGATTTGCAGTGATACCATTAGTATTGGGCAAATAACTTAGAGGTAAGAAAGATATCTCTGTTACTAAAATCAGTTAAAATATCACATCTTCATTTTATCACTATATTATTCTGTTATTAAATTGTTTCCCTTTGGTTTTACTATACAGGTGGCTATTTGCTTTTGGGGGGAGCTAAGAATTTATTGAGAGAATTGTTCATTATGTTCTAGATAAAAAAAACTACCCTTTGATGTTCTAGAATCTCCAGAAGTTTGAGAAACATGCTTTAGGAAGCTCAGCTATGTGGCACTCAATCAATCAGCATTTGTGGAATGAATTTAAGCACTGAACGTTGGGAAGACAGGTCTTTCTTCATTTTTTACATTTTTTAAACATTGTAAAACTCATTTGGAGGGTGGATAAACCTACATGCTGACATTATGGGAAACATTCTCTTTCTCGAATGGGGACAGAAAGGAAAGAGTCCAGAAGTAAGGCTCTGTAATCAACTGGGCAGGCAAGATGACAGGTAATTCAATTACAGCACCGTCCGCAATGAAGTGGGGGTCTCACAGCCCCCACTGTGGGTCAGAAAGACTGTCCTAGAAATACAGTCACTGCAGAGATGCACCCCACAAGGATCCCTTCATTGGAAATAGATGAACGTGATCAGAAAATATCCATGAAAAAGAAAACAATATAAAACTTTACATTGTTTTGAGAGGATAGAAGCAAGGTTCGTGGATTTGCCTACGTCTGGAGACCACTACTGATGCTTAAAACAATGTTTGTTTCACGTCCTTAGAAAATTAAAAAACGGTGCTTCTTCTATAAAGGGTCCATCAGTTAAGCCATGAATGAGGGGCAGCGGCTGATGGGCAGGTGGCGGACATCAGTCCCTACGTTTCAGCTGTGACAAGCACTGGGTTCTTTCCTTTTACATCAGCTTCGTTTCAGGTTTAACAGAAGGGAAGCCATAGATGCACATACTGTAATCTGGAAGCTTATGTAAGGCAGCAAAAAGCATTACCCTAGATTGGGCAGACTAAGTCGGGTCCGCTTCTGGCTACACTAGCAACCGGCTAGAGCCAACAGCAGTTTGCCACACCAGAGATAAAAGCAAAGATCCACAGCAAGGGAGGTGAGTGAGACGCCAGCAACGTGGCGATGCGTGAGTACGGTATGGGAACACACTACCAAACGAAACCCCGGGGCCGCTGGGTTCAAGTCCGGTCAAGTGAATTAAGGCTACTATATAACTCGCTGATGTGAAGAGTCCATTCCCATTGAGCAGTAAGGAATCGGTTCACTCCTGAAGACACAAGGAAAGGTTCAGAGGAGAAGCGAGTTCTTGGAAAGAATGGAGCACACACATGCACGCTGTCTCTGAGGTGAGGAAACTGGAGGAAAATGAAAGGGAGGAGGAATAAGAGAGATCAAAGCAATCCGACTGCAAGGCAGGCAGGTGCTGGCTTCCAGTTCACAGTATTGCAGTTAGTGGTACAGTGAGGTCTAGGCAAGTGGAGAGCACAGAGGCTGCCCGGAAGCAAAGGGGAGAAAGAAGTGGTCACATGACAACACAGCATTGACAGCGCTTTTTCTTTTGGGTACCTGGGGCTGGCTCTGTGGCCAGGCTCTCCTCCTTCCCTTCTGGGGACGAGGGCTCTGTGGTGTCTGAGACAGGCCTCCCAGACACAAGCTCAGCTGCATTCCCGTCAATAGTGGACACATCCGTCACTGTCTTCTCCCTCAATGACTTCTCATCGTCTTCGTCGATGAGGACCAATTCAGCCTTGATGGTCTCATCATAGCCTAGCACCTTTTTAGTCTCCTCTTCATCCTCGATATTCTGGTAGCCCATGAAAATCATGGTGACGGGCTGATCCAGGTTTGCCTCCGGCCCTTCAGTGCTGGGGGCTTGGGCCTGCTGCCCTGGGTTCCCGGAAGAGTGATCTTTCCTAGACTTATGGACCATTTCTAACTTGGCCTCTTTGCAGAGCACGTGTTCCTTAGGGGGGCTGAGGCTCCCATCTGCAATCACAGTCCTTTCTGACCCGTGCCCTCCTCTTAAGCTTGATTGTCCAGCCTTCTGAATAAGCTCTTCTACGTCCTTGGAGCTTAATCTGTGCACTCCGTTCTCTACTACGGTGCCTCCTGAGCGCACCTCATACACTACTTTGGTACCATCGTCATAGACTCTGACTCCTCTCTGATGGACCCCCTCTGGGCCAATGGTGGATGCAGAGAGAATCTTGGTCTCTCCTGTTTGTTTGTCTTTCTCCACATTAATTTCCATGGCGTACACAGCTTGAATGAAAACAAGAGAAAGGAAGTGCATGTTACAACAAAAAAAGCCAGTGAATGGTTAATTGCCAAACAGACCAAAAAAAAAAAAAAAAGGTTTTGTGCCCTTTCTAGTCTAACTGCCAAGCATCTTGAGTGTTAGAGTGAGTGCACATTGTGGACAGAGGTGGTTACATATGTGTTTTAACATAGCAGCTTAATGCACTGGAAGACAGATGTACGGGGTTCCCACAGCTCATGGACACTCACACCTCCAAGGAAGATCTGCGGCAACACGGCCACAAGCAACTGTTTAGATCCAGTTAAGGAATCACGGGGAGGCTGGCAACATGCAAGTTTACCTTGATTGACAGCTTACCCTCAGCTGATAGACTGTTGTAAAGCCCTTGCTTAAGATGTATCCTAGTTCCAAAATGGTATCTTTTTTACCCCTTTCAACAAGCGTTCCACTACTTCTTCACCATCTCCCTTTACTGTCAATGGAGAACATGTAAGCTTTTTGCAGGTGGGACATGTACTATAAAACAGGATTATTTGCAAAATTGAAAAGCTACAAACGTAGTCAGACAGTACGCTCTGCGAGTCCTTCGGTCACTTAGCTAGGTTTCTCCAACAGGAACTAGAAAAAGAACAATATAGAGGGCACGCCATCCCCCTGACACTGGAACCTGACGACAAGAATCACAGGAGCCACCTCTTCTTCCGTGTGCCCAGTACCCAGACCTCATGGTTGGGCCCTGTACCACTTTTCTCACCTGTCCCCTCCTTTCTGTCCCACCGCCACTGCTCCACCTGAGACAGTTTCCTCTTCCCTGGATTATTGCGAGACCTTCCCATGCGGTCTTTCTGCTCTGGTCTCACCTTCTGCAACTCGTCCCAAATCCACTGTACCCAGTCTGGAGTTCCTGAGGACCAGCTCATTCCTGTCCTATAGTCTACATGACACCCATCCTTTCAAATCTGTTACGTCAGAGGCCCCTATTCTGAGTGTGAGGAAACTGGGTTTTAGAGCCACGGAGTCAGTTCTCCCCAGGCACCCTTTCTCTGTACGGCTCATGGACACCTCAACTTCTGCAGCTTCCGAACTAAATCCACCTGCTTCCCTCCAAACTTCCCCAATCCTGGTGATAAATAATACCAGTGCCACCCAGTCTCTCAAGAAAGAAGGCTCAGAACGGCACCCAATTTGTTTTGTCTCTTTCTTCCTAGTTACCCAATAGCCAAACAATTGAGAGTAACTAACTATTTCAGACCTACCCCTGGGCCTCCTCTCCCCACTGCCTGCATCGCCGCTGCCCCAGGGCCAGGCCCTCCTCTGCCCTCCGCATCCCACATCACAGCCTTTTCTTCCTTTTCACCAGCCACTTATCTCTTCTCATGGCCAGAGGGCCAAAGGTCGCCTGAGGCTTGCTTTTGTGTGGCCAGAGGTACACAGATAGTTTTTATATTATTAGAAGATAGTAAAAAGTTTTTAAAGGAAAGAAGGAAGGAAGGAAGGAAGGAAGGAAGGAAGGAAGGAAGGAAGGAAGGAAGGAAGGAAGGAAGGAAGGAAGGAAAGAGGGAAGGATATGTGATACAGATCAGACAAAGTCTGACATATTGCGGTGCGGTCTGGCCAATTAAGGAACAAAGCCTGCGGTCCCCTTCCAGCCTGTGCTCCATCCTGCTCATAGTTAGTTACCTTGCTCATAAAGCCTCTGTTGGTTCCCATGTCTGTGTAGGATGAACATCAAACTCCTTAACTTGACATTCAGTGCCCCTCTGAACCAGTCTGCAGACTTCCTTTCTAGGCTTGTCTTGCAGCCCCTCTCGCTCCACATACACTTCAGCCATAACACACTGCTCTCCATTCCTGGGACGCTCCACACCCTTCCACTGACTGCGGTCTCCCTGCCCAGACGGCTTTTCATCCCCTCTCCACCTCGGTCTCCTGGAGTCCCATGTCACGCTCTGCTTATCATTGCCTTTGCGTTCCTACCTCTTTCTGAATAACTACAAGGATTACAAATCCTGCAACTGTGTTAAGGAGATTCAAAATACCTTTTCAATCCCTGTGCTACTGCCCCCTCCCCTCTAGCACAACCAAATAACGCCACCCCACACCCAGACATCTCCCGCTTTTGTTAAAATTCCCTTCTCTTGAGTCTATGCATCCAAACGTGACTCATCCATCCCTGTCCAGGGTCAACTGTCATGGGCTAACTTTGACCCTCCTATCTCTAAGGCACCCCTCTAAGATTCTTTGAACATGGCTTCTAAACCTCTTTGAAGGCATTTAATCCTTTTCTTATACTTCCACTCAGTAGTATAATTATTTGTGGGAATGTTTAATTAGCCTTTGTATAGATTTTTAACATCTTTGAAGGCTAGTTTTTTGCCTGCCAGCTTTCTGTGGTTCCCCCTCCCGCCAGCACCTACCTTAGCACCTTTTGTACAGAGGGTACCTGATACACATACCCGTGAAACAAACACTACTGAATGAAAAGTCTAATTGGGTTGTCTTAAGCTAATCACAGATACTTTGCATAATATGACACCCATGAAAAGTACCCACAGTAATTAAGGTTTGAACTGGTTTGAAAAAAACAGCAGTGATATTGTTCCATCTGCTTGTGTAATAAAATGTTATCTGTTCACAGTTGACACTTAACTAAAAGACTCTGAAGCTAAATCCAATGCTTGATTTTCATCGTGTCCATTTTGAAGGTTTCACTGTTCAGCACAAAGATCTTGCGTTTCCTTAAGAGATACAGTGAGGCCAACCAATATTTGTCATGGAGGTACATGGGGCTACACAATGACCGTGACATGAAGAGAAATATTTCTGTGATTCTTCCTGATTTTCCACAAAATGTAACATCAGAGAACTAGAATAGGCATTTAAAATTTTGCATGGGCTACAAGAAGTTAGTTCTTTAAATATCACACTTAATTAAAATGTACATTTTTGGGAGTTAAATATTATGTCCTATCACTACTAACATACTCATGGGACAGATTTATAAATAAGAATGGTAATAACGATTATTATTGTAGGTACAATAGTTAATGATCTCCTAAACATGTAGCATATGTGAATAAAAGGACACCTTTCCCTACAACCAACACAGAGTATGGAATAAAGTATTTCTATTTTTATATTCACATGACGGGATGCAAATTATGGACATGGGAATCTTCAGAGACAGCCCTCTCACTCGGCCCCCGGGTGAGGATGCTGGTGCTGTTGGTCCATTTTTCCCTGCACCGCCCTGACCCTCAACCTCCTGCTGTCTTTGCCCATTCTGGAATCAGGGAGTAGGCAGAAAGGAGAGACGCTGAGGTGTCCCTGGTGGGAAGGATTAAGTAGATCCACAGAACAAACGCCATGCGGGCCACTGATAGAGAAGGAGCATTATGTGGTGCGAGATGATGCTTTGGAGTCGGTGATAAGTGGAGGGGAGAAATGAAAATATAAGAAATATGTCCGGGTGGAGATATGCATTGGATTGCTTTTAACATCCTTCCAAAAAAAAAAAAAAAAAAAGAAGAAGAAGAACAGAGTTTATTTATTTATTTATTTACTTACTTACTTCTTACCTATAGCTGTGATATTAAACTGTATTCTATTAAATGTGACATGGCTCTGAATCTGAACCCCCGTTAATGAACATGGTTTCATTGGGGCTACATATCAGTATTTGTATTTACATGTGGTACACTGCCTTTCCAATATTTCTAGACTATGAGGGTAGAGCATTTTAAGACATTTTTATAATGCAATAAATCTAGATATATTATGCCATAAAATACAGCAGCATTTGTATTCCTTCCCCCTGACACCAGCTACAACATAAGGCTTCAAAGGAACCACAGAGTTTTAGCAGGTTTCTCCAGGGTTAGAGCCCACATTCCTTGTCTGCATTCACTCCCTTCCCTAGGAAGGAGGGCTTAGGTGAATACCAAGGAGATCTGGCTTCACACAAAAGGCAATCTTTCAACTTCATAGACACACATAGGAGAATGTTACTGGACATTCAGAAAATGACACAGGAGGCATGAGCGTCCATCTTAAATGTGTTGTTAATGAATGAGTTTTCATCTTTCACTCCAGTCCTCAGACAACTGTATTTCTGAGACAATGTTAATTGAGGTAAATAGGAACCCAGAGGAAAACGAGACTTACATTTTAAATTCAGCATTTTGTCTTTGAGGCACGCACACAACTGTGAAAACTTCTGCTGCCCAGGAGCAGACACCAAAGAGCTCTCACTTAAACCATGTGGTCATCTCTAACCACAAAGAACCCTCTCTAATCCACCCTGTTCTTCTCTCAAGCTTCCTCCCAACACAGGGACACTAAAATCTGTGTACTGAAGAGGGTCCTGTGCTCATCCCAGTGAAAACAAATGAAGACGGGTGCTGCTCAGGGGAGCAGGCTTTCTGGACAGCCCCTACAAGAGATCTTGAAAGAGCCCCATGGACATAAAAGTGTTTGAAGAAAAGCTCTCTGAAATTTCCTGGAGGAAGGATCTGGAGACAGAGGAGAAAGAAAGGATACAGTGCCAAGGAAGTTCCAGTGGTTGGGTGACTGAATGCAGTCTGTTCTTATTAAATGACAATTTAATTATTGATTTCCAAACGTGACATACTGATGACAACAGGATTGGAGTATATGAAGCATCTCTGCTCTTCCTTCCCATAACCCCTTAAGACAGGGAGTGACACGTTCATTTTGTTCATGAAAAATAAGAACCAAAGTAGTTGGGTTCTGCAATGGGACGTGAATGAATGACTGAATTGGTGCTTTGACTTTGGGTCTTGCTGTTTGGTTTACTAGGTTCCTACTCCCTCAAAAGCACTCTGTAAGGACCATTTTGAAGAAGCAGAAACACTGTAATGGGGCATGACAATCCCAGCCTCAGGCTTTTGAAAGCAGCCGGGTTTGGGCTACAGTGGGAAGCACCTGGGGAAGACACCTGCCCAAAAACTGGGCTGAGGGAGGATGAGGAGCTACTGTGGCC